AACACTTGGAGGGAATGAGTTGTTGGGAAGTCAGGTGGGACATCGTAAAGCTAGTTGGCACAGTATCTTTCACAAAGACGGTGTTCTAGATCCTATTTGTGTTAGTAGTGATTGATGTTACAAAGTTCATGAGCAGTCATCTAGGGTAAAACTATTGGTCTTTCCTTGTCTAGATGAAAGAAGAGTGATAAAAATCAAAAGACCACAGAAACAATTAGTCCAGTAGACTAATAGATCACACGAATATCAGTCTCCACAATCCTGAGACCAGAAGAAATAGATGGTCCCCGGCTTCTACCAACTGCTCTGAAAGTATCATTTTACAAACAAAAGCTTGGATTTGGATAGGATAGGAGAAAAATATGGAACAAAATCCAAAAGGATGAAAGAGACCAGGCTTATTGGTCAGATAGAGAATGGAGGGACTCCCTACCACGAAGGTCCTTACCTTTCAGGTCTGGATCTGGATCTGTATAATAGCCATTAAAGATCAAAAGGGCAGCATTTACCCAAAGGCAAAGTTTAAAGAGTTTAAAGTGTAAAGGGTTAGGGGGAAAGGTGGAATGCAAACAAGAAACATGAGGTAGAAGTGTGATAAAGAGTTGCAATGGATAAGTTGAATCTAAATGTGATTGAATTTTTTAATGCAAAACTATGATTTCTATCAAAGCTTACCCTAATTTACAATAAAAAGGTTTTAAAAATAAGAATAAAACGATATAAGGATTCATCATGTGGTGCAGTGATTTACTTGATAGGGTCTTTCACCCCATAGTGTCTGTAACTCCCACCGAAAGACTGAGTCAGAACATATAGATTTGGTATGTTTTCTCTCTTCCTGATCAGTCTAGATTAAAGGAGATAGGAAAAGGACTTTTGGGCAGAATTCATTTTGATTGTAAAAACTAGGGGATTGGTCAACTTTGTCATCTTCCAAAATAATCAAACTCTTTGCCATCATGTCGTTACAGATTCATAGCGACCCAACAGGATAGGGTAGACTTGCCGCTTTGAGTTTCTCAGACTGTAACAACTTAAGGGAATAGAAAGCCCTGTCTTTTTCCCAAGGAGCCACTGATGGTTTTGAACTGTGTACCTTGAGGATCACAGCCCAACCTGTAACCACTACTCCAAGAGGGATCCTACTGGGTATAAAATGAGCCTTCTCAGAGGAGGGACAGGGGCTCTCACTACCATCCATAAAGAAGAGTAAGAGTGGAGCACTTTCTTTGTTCCTCAAGGTCTCTGTACACTGAACCATCTGAATCTAGAAGATAGAGCTGTGGAACAGAAAAGAGCAAAGGGCAGTGGTAGCAGCAAAACCAAAAGCTGAAGCATGAGACACGGGTGGGTTTTCAGACCTAAGCATGAGTAAAACTCATTTCCCAGAGGGATACCTTCTGCAGGGACGCTACACTTGCTGACCAAGGATGTAGACCTGTGCCTTCATTCTGAAGTATATGGTGAAGTAGCATTCCCTTTGGGCATTTGTTTTCAGCTCTGAAAAAGCTTTGTAATATTGCCCAAGCAGTGTGACTGAAAGGTTTTGGTCCAGCATGAGGCCTGCAGTCGGTCATGGCTGTACATTTCTGATCCTGAATTGTAATCTGTTCACTTCCCTAATAAAACCTATTGTATATGAGTTCTGGGTGGCCAGTGCAATGAATTTTTAAACCCTGCAGAGAAGCAGTCAATGATTCAGGAGGTCTCTTAGTCTGTGAGAGGTTGAAAATGGTGGACGGGGCTGCACACCAGCCAGAGGAAGGCCGGGGCAGCACAGAGGTCCCGTGTCGATCCCGGGTCTTTCAACACCAAGACAAGAGGTTGGAGATGGAGGAGTGGAACAGAGATAGAATTTAGACAGAAATGTGAAGTTGAGAAAGATTTTATTGAGGCAGGGAAAGAACTCCCTTGAGCCTCCAGGTGGGTTCCTAGACCCAACGAGATAGGTCAGGACAATCATATCTGGCAGTGAGGCAGTGGGACATAGACAGGGCTTGAGCCAAGGACGTATGCACTGGTAAGGGGAAGGAGAGCCTTCTGTGCTGCAGTTGCAGGTCTGAGTCAGGATGTGGTCTGTGAGTAAATCGTCCTGGAACACTCAGGGAAGGGACTGTACAGACCCGGCCCAGAGAGATAAGCTCCTTGGACCACTGGAGGCGGGGACTGCACAGTCCAGCTCTGGCCTTGAGAGGCAGCGGGTAGGGGTCGCACAGTCCAGCAGGCTATCTTTCGGGAGAGCTGGGGGAAGCAGCTACATGGTCCGGACCCGGCCCAAACAGTCTGAATTGGTGAGAGAGTTAGAGGATGAAGGCATGTCTGATGTTTACCTCATGTTGATGGTGATTCTCTTCTATACCCACAAAAAGTCGAGATCAGAGGCTGCCGCCATGCCATTTTTAACATCATGTACCTGACAGTACCGATTGTGCCCAACCACACTAAGATATTCTAGTAAAATTTATTGGATTTTAAAGAAACTGGAAAAAAAATAAAGAAAGAAAGAAATGTTGAATATCCAGAAGAAAAGAGCATCACTTATAAGAAAAAAAAACATTCCCATCACAATGTTTAACTATGACTGGAAGAAACTTGAAGTAGCTCTAGTGGCCCTGGATGAAAGTGAAAGTAGCTCTAGTGGCCCTGGATGAAAGTGAAAGTAGTTCTAGTGGCCCTGCATGAAAGTGAAAGTAGCTTTAGTGGTCTATTGAGTTAAACAGTGAGTTGCGAACTGCAAGATCAGCAGTTCAAGCCCACCAGCTGCTCCATAGGAAAAAGAAGATGCTTTCTGCAGCTGTAAAGATTTACAGCCTCACAACCCCACAGGGGTAGTTCTACTCTGTCTTATAGGGTCTCTATGATTCAAAATTGACTAAATGACAGATTTCAGAAATACGTAGAATAACATATTTAAGAGATTAAAGAAAAGAAAGTGAACTAAAGATTTTATATTTACCCAAACTAACTTTCAAATATGATGGACACAAATTATCAACATAAAAGGAATTTCCTTCAGTGCTTTCTAAGGAACTATATTAGAGATTAGCATCAGACTCAAAATGACCAGGGAGATGTTTGTTTTTATTTTTCTAATTGTTTTGCATTTTCTAAGCCAGTTTTTGAAATTTTCTCATTTGTTCTTAGCTGTCATAATATTCTAGCATTACTCCAAATTTTGCCTTTTTTGGTCTCTTTTAACTCTTATTTACTACAAAAATTTAGAAAATACATTTTTAGGTAGTCATAAACCTCTGTAAATGTCCTTTGCCTCTTAGTTCTTTCCTCTATTTCTACTTTCCTCTTGACCCACTATCATGTTTGGCCTTAATTCAGGTTTCGGTAATTCCTCTTGTCTATATTGCACTTGATCAAGCGCTACCAGGCATCCTATGCCCTCCTTGCCATTGATTTTAGATCACTTGTTCCTTTGTCCCTGGGTTTGTTGGCACCCCCGTTCTTTTCCCTCACCCCACCCCTCCCAAGTCCCCCTGGAACCATTGGTCCCATTGTTTTCTCCTCTGTATTGTTTATCCCACCTATCTTATGAAAAAACAATAAAAAGCACAATAACAAAACAAAGCAAAAGAAAACACAAACAACAACAACAATAAAGAAAAGCCTGTAAATAGTTCCAGGTTTGTTTGTTGACCTTTATGAATGTTTTCTGATCGAGTCTGATGGGGTTCCACACCCTGGGCCCAAAATCTATTTTTTGTATTCCTTGAGGGGTTCATGAGCAATTTGTTTTTTCATGACTCTTATTTTTTATAATTTTCTTGGTTATTATTGGATGGTTAGTCTCCTTGGGAAATTTTAAATAATTAGGTAAAGTACCTCTTCCTCGAAAAAATACACATTGTGGTTTTTAGTGATGTTTTCAGATTTCTTGAAGCTTAAAGCGAATATTAACAATTAAATGATCATAAATGTTATTTAGTGAACCTCTTAGCTAGTAAGAAATTTTTAAATGTTTGCACAGAACATTTTATACTACTATATATATATGGGTATCTTATAAATATATTTTTATGGTATACATTGATTCAAAGGCCATGGTATTTTCTGAATCAATGAGAAAATATAGGGCTACCTACATGAATTATTAAAGTTGAATTGTTTCAGAGGTGATTTTCATAGATTCAACTGAAGAAAACATGTTATTTTTTGTGTTTGAAAATGTCAAAGTAATTTTCTTTATTGTGTAAAATAAACTTTAAAATCCCTAATTTAGATATTATTATAACTATTAAATTGTGTCTATTTCAGTTCTTTGTGAATAAAAAACAAATGCCATTTGTTTTAGTAGCTTTCCCTTTACTTTCTCACAATATTTAAATAGACGAAAAAGTTTGAAATCAGAGCCAGACCCATTAAGATTTTTAGTGCACTTGAGATCAAAATGTTAATGACTCAAGTCCTCTCTGCAGTGATCTTTGCCCTTAAAGACTACACCAGCCCTGAGGGCAGTTCTCTGTCCTCACACAAGGTCCCTGGTAGTTGAAATAGACTTGATGGCACCTAACAGCAACAACAAAACACTTCTTAGGCAAGGGTTAGAGCTTCTTTGGCTTTTTTTTTTTTTAATAGAAATTCGTTTCTACTGATTTCTAAATTACTTTGTATATTCTAAGTTTTAAAAATTAACATAAGTAAATCAAAACTAGATTCAGTGATTCATAAGTCACTTATAAAATCTTTCAATAGCTATATACAAACAGCCTTTCATAGAAATATTAACCAAATGTGTCAAGTAGTTCATGCTTTCCTGGTTTTTTTATTGTAAAAAAGTAAATAATTTCTTGACAGTAAATTTGATCAAACCACATAATCTGTCTCCCTATTATCAATTCTTCCTGTTTGTTTTTTCTCTTTTTTAAAAGAATCACAATGCCCTTTTACTGCCATTTATTATTAAATAATCACTTTTCCCTGCTACTAAGATACAAGAGATCCTTGGTTAATTAAAATGAGTGGCCTTATACATTTTTCTTTGTTTTTAGATTCCTGAATTTGACAACTTGTACCTGGATATGAATGGAATTATACATCAGTGCTCCCACCCTAATGATGATGATGTGCACTTCAGAATCTCAGATGATAAAATCTTTACGGATATTTTTCACTACTTGGAGGTTTTGTTTCGCATAATTAAGCCTAGAAAAGTGTTCTTTATGGCTGTTGATGGTGTGGCTCCCCGGGCAAAAATGAACCAGCAGCGTGGGAGACGTTTCAGGTAAATTTATTTATGGTTTATTTTAGAATACTATTAAGTTTCATAAACTCTATTATTGTTAAAGTAATTAACTTAATACAAAATATCTTCTGTACATGTTCGTTTTCTGCTTTGATCAAATAAATGAGTCTAAAAATTAGGTGAAGTGCCATTTCTTAAAGCATATGTTGAGTTATATAAAATCATTCTATTAGTTTCTGTCACAGATGTTTCAAACTTCTCATTGGTAATTTTAAATGGTCGAAGAACACAGTTTTCATAGGGTTCTGCCTTAAACCGGGAACTACAAAGGTAACTAAGATCAAGCTACTTTTATAAGATCAGTGTTGGCATTTTATTTAACCCAACAAAGATTTATTGAATAGTTTGGCTTTGTGCCAAATGCTGACTTTGGGCAGAAATCAAAATGTGAGCTGAGAGAAGAGAGGTGAGTAAGGCCACCACTATGTAAATTAACTAAGTAGGAGGAGGACTCATGAAGAGAAGTTATAGACACAGAGGATTTGAAGCTCAAAATTCTGAATGTGTTGAATATTTCTAACAGTGAGAACAGGCTGTGTTCTGGTGCATGAATAGCAGAGGTAGAGTTAAAGTTAGAATTGAAAGCACGAAATTCTTAGTCCAGAGTATTTGATGGGGCATTTACATTATAAATCCTTTTTGCATAATAGCAGGTTAAAGAGTGGAAGGGGCACCTGTGAGTTGAATGTGGTACTTGTCAAGGAAGAACTTGGGAAAATTACTTGAAGAAGGCTAGCAATGATATAGAAAGAGAATGGTACAAAAAAGACTGATTTAGATGTCAAGGGTCACCAGTATTGATTACCCATTGGGCCGCTAGCCACTTCGCAGGAGAATGACCATGTTTCCTGCACCTGTAAAGAGTTGTATTGAAACCCACAGGGCAGTTCTTCCCTGCACTCTTGGGCCACTGTGAGTTGGAATTAACCTGATGGCAGTGAGTTTGATTGTTGAGTTTAAATGCCAAAAAAGAAAAGATACTGAGAATTTTGGAAAGTGTGAAATCCTTGTACGCAGTAATCATATATTAAAACTTTTGATTCTCAAACCACCAGAGTTTCTTAATATGGATTTCTAGAAGTTAGACCCTCAATATTATGTTTACCAGACTCATATTTGTTAAACTTATTGGGCACAAGAGGGCTAGAAAATGTAATGTCAGGGTGCAGTTACAGGTACCAGAAATCATTCTCGTAGCTATTTTTAAGCAGAAAGGGATACAATATAGGGTACGTGGTACTTACACAAATTACTGTAGGATTCAAATGAGCAAGCTGAAGGGTGGACCTTCAGGAATGACTTCCAGGAGAACATCACAACAATTGGGATTACTATTACCCCATTCAGAAAGGTGAAGAGTTCAGGGACTCCCACCAGAACACTTAGTTCCAGGAAATTATTGCATTAGTTATGATTAAAGGTTCAAGAAGCCACTGCCTAGCCCAAAGGTTCTCAACCTGTGGGTTGCGACCCCTTTGGGGGTTGAACGACTCTTTCACAGGGGTCGCCTAAGACCATTGGCAAACACATATTTCTGATGGTCTTAGGAACAGTTCCTTCTATCCATCTCCAGGGAGGTCTGCCCACATGCAGATACGCCCACATACGAGTATCTGGCATGAAAACTGATACCCATGCTACACCATGCTCAAGACAAAATTTCATGTATTTGTAATCAGATATAAATATTTCACAATATATAATTACATATTGTTTTTGTGATTAATCACTATGCTTTAATTATGTTCAATTTGTAACAAAAAATACATCCTGCATATCAGATATTTAAATTATGATTCATAACAGTAACAAAATTACACTTATGAAATAGCAATGGAAATAATGGTTGGGGGTCACCACAATCTGAGGAGCTGTATTAAAGGGTCACGGCATTAGGAAGGTTGAGAAACACGGGCCCAGACTTTTGGCTCCAAGAATATGTATATATATATATCTTTAGCTATAATTCAGCAGTTCAGAAGGCACCACTGCATTTGTTAGCTCTGGTACTCCAATGTACCTGCGAATTATGTTCTAGGAAAAACAAATAGACTATACCATGCCCCTCAGCATCTCTCTCTCAGATATTCTCTGCCACTGCTGAAATAAATGTGAGCATGTGAACATGCATATATGCATATGTTCACGTGCATACACACACAAACGCCCCATGGTATGTTTGTTTCTATGCAAGGTTCACCTTTTAAACTTTAATGGGTGTATCTGACTGACAAAATATAAGTGGATTCTAAAATATTAATCTCCTTAGAATTTTATTTTTAGCTTTCAAACTTCTCCAGTCATATATTATGTTGGGCTGCTTTCTAACCTCTTTAGTTTTCTCACCTTTCCAGTGGGTTATGTTGGGCTGCTAACTGCAAGGTTGGCATTTCAAATCCACAAGTTGCTCCATGAGAGAAAGTTGAGACCTTCTATTCCTGTAAAGATTACAGGCTTGGAAACCAAAGGGGCCGTTCTCTATTCTATGGGGCTCCTATACAGAGCATCATGGACTGTAAATGTTTATAGGAACAGACAGCCTTTTTCTTCTACAGAATGGTAAATTTGAACCGCCAACCTTGCGGTTAATAGTCTTTAGCATCTAACCCACAGTGCCATTAGGGCTCCTAATGTGTCATAATCAATAAAACCAAACTCATTGCCATTCAGTCAATTCCAACTCAAAATGATGTTATAGGATAGAATGCTATAGTGTAGAATTGCCCCTGTGAGTTTCTGAGACTCTTTATAGGAGTAGAAAGCCTGTCTTTTTCCCAAGGAATGACTGGTGAATTCAAACTGCTGTCCTTGCTGTTAACAACCAATGCATAACCACTGTGCCAACAGGGCTCCCTAGTGTCATACTCATGTAAAACAAACAAGTTATGAGAAGCCAGATGGAGACTGAGACACCTGTACTCAAACCTATGTCTGTCTGATTCTAAAACTCATGTTTTGTAAATCTTATCACTTAAAAAATCTGACATCTAATGACAGTGTTACTAGGCTTATATTTTAAGAGGAAAGCCAAAGATATGTTTTATAATTTTATAAGGAGTCCTGTGCATGGTACATACAGTTAATGTGGTAGGCACCTAACTAAAAGGTTAGCATACAAGGTCACCCAAAGGTACCTTGGAAGAAAGATCTGCGACTCTACTTCCAAAAAATTCAGCCATTGGAAACCCAACAGACATGGGGTTGCTATGCATCAGACTTGACTGGATGGATGATAACTGGTTTATTTTATGTAATATTCTTATAAATCAGCTTAATTCTCTTGATATCATTAAATGCGGTATATATAATGAATTTTTAATACCATACTCTTGAACTTGTGTTCCTAGAATCAATTTGTTGTATACCTGTGATAAGGTTTATTAATAATTTGTACATAAGGTCACCATTAGTCATAGTCCACTCAGCAACAACTAATAACTATGTTTCATTTTTAAACTTTAATAGTTTTAATCCCATATATTCAGAAATAATATACTTCAATGATTTAAACAACTTAAAAGAGTTGTGCAATTACTACCACAATCAATATTAGAACATTTTCTTTCTTGTGTTCATTATTAAATAGCCCCCCATTTCACTCAAACCTCCCTGCCGTAGCTGAAAGGGACTATTAATCCAGTTATTATCTCTATAGACTTACCTATACTGGATTTTATATAAATACAGTAAACAAATAAAGAGAACAACAATAACAAAATAAAACAGAAAAACCTCAATCAAAAAGCAGAAAGTAATAAAAACTAGAACAAATCTAAAATGGGTCATAAGGGAGAACAAATGTTAAGGTGTTAAATTTTAACTTAACTACATCTGCATTAGTGTACTTTCCAATATACTCTATCTGCTAGCAACACTATTCACCATCCCTGGCCAATGGTCAGAAAGAATTCATCAAAGATTTAATCCATGTATGGACCTTGCAAATGGATTTTGGACTTTCACTCTCATCCATAGCCTTCTGCAAACTGGGTGCTCAGAGTTTAAACTCTAATCTCATTCCCTCCTCTGGTCTTGGATTTTATTATTTCTAATCCTTGGATCACACAGGCTATTGTGCTTCTTACATGTGTTCTTGGCTGACATCTCACTTTGATCGCTACTTGTTTTAAGCCAAGCCTGTAACATCCCAGACACTATTTTTTCTGATATCCAGGCACCATCTGATTTCTTCACCATACTTTGCAATAGCACCCATATCATCAGTGATCTCATCTAATAACTATGTTGTATTTGGGTTTTATTTTGTTTTTAAGATTGTATTTCTATATTCCTTATCTGAGAAATTTTTTAAATAATGAAAACCATTTTATACAATAAAAGCACAATTTTGAAGTTTATTTTTATCAATAATAATCATTACAAAATACATGTTTTTTAACCATTAAGATTCCAAATGAATCAATGAATTTGTATTATAAAAGCATTTCAATAATTTACTGTATATGAAATATTTACTTCTCATCATGAAGTTTAAGATGCATTTTCCTTAACATTTAAGGTCAGCAAAGGAAGCAGAAGACAAAATTAAAAAGGCAATAGAAAAGGGAGAAACTCTTCCTACAGAGGCCAGATTTGATTCCAACTGTATTACACCAGGTAAATTCACTGAGAAAAAAATTCTGAGCACTGCAAAATGTAAATTGACATTTCAGTTGCTGAGTGTATTTTTATTTGTTGAGCTTTGTTTGGCCTTAGGGTTTGAAAAATTGCTAAATTTTCATAGTTGTGTCTCTTCGTGAGATAGTGTGCTCACTGTGGTCATCAATGCTCTTAGACAGGCCCATTGTAGTGATTTACAGATATTGATAAAGAGCTGCTCTAGATAAGAGCACTCTCCCAGATACATGAAGTTTCAGATGTAGAAGGAAGTTATAAGATCATTCCGTGGTGCTCCTGCTTTTTATTGGTATGTAAAAACAGACTTAGCAAGGTCTGACTAATCCAGGTTCATTTAGCTACCGTATCATGTGTAGGGTAAGAAACCCATTCTCCTGGTCCAGAGTACCCACTACTTTCAGAGACAGGATTTCTGTAACTTGAAGGATACGTGAATTTATCAGTTAATATTATAAGTTTAATTTTATATGTAACAGCACATCTGTAGTTCTGAGCAACTTTGTCTAACATAATTTTTTCCTTTGGGGAAAAAAAATCTTCAGACCTTATTTTCTCGTAAGTTCTTCACTGACTGCAGTAATTTCTCCTTAAATCATTGTCCTCGTCACACATTGCTCAGTTTAATTACCAGTTTATTGTGACTGTGATTAAGACTGTGTGACCCTTTCCTGGATAAAGTGGGAGAAAATTGTGGAATAAAACTCATAATCCTAGAAAACTTCAGGCTTGCTGCTCAGTTTGGTATTAGGAACCCCTGAGGGATATGGCCCTTAGTGCAGGTCTGGAACTAGACTCATCCCATGGTTTTCTGCCAAACAATAGACAGCTCTGCAATGGGAATAATAACATGAGTGAGGTATAGACACCTTAAAATACTAAACCAGTTGAGGTCAAAGGGACAGCATTTACTCAAGGATAAAGTTAAAGAGGAGGAACAGAAACAGAAGAAGTGGTGTAAATAACATTACATTGTGGGGGTTGCAATGAATGAACTGAAACTAAATATGTATGAATGTTGAATTTAAAACTGATCATCTGCTTTGTAAATCTACTCCATCACAATAGTTTTTTCTTTAAGACTGTATGACCTTTGACGATTGACCATCTGTGCTTTTTCCAAAGCATAATCATTCCAGACAGATCACAATGTTCCAGATTTATAATAAATTCAATAGTAATCACAGTAACAGCTCTTGTTACTAATGCTAATAGAACTCAAGCTGCTTGTCTTCAAGAAAACCTTCTGAATCTCTAAGACAGGAAGTAAAGATTGAGGCTTACTAGAGTTAAAACTTAACCCTTTCATGAAAAATCCTGAGACAGTAACAACATTCCCTGTCTGTGCTTGGCTTCAGTTAGGGCTAGTCATTTAAATTAGAAATAAATTCTATTTGTAGGGGAAAGGTATACATTACTTGATTTTCAGGATAAGCCAGAGAATTTTTTACCTTCTCTGGAGATCTCATAACGATTTCTTCCTTGGGTATCCAGTTCCAATGTTGTGTTGTCACTGACTATTTTTATGTCTCTCTCAGGTGAACTTATGGAAATTTTTTATTTATAGGGACTGAATTCATGGCCAGGTTACATGAACATCTAAAGTATTTTGTAAACTTGAAGATTTCCACAGACAAGTCTTGGCAAGGTGTTACCATCTACTTCTCAGGCCATGAGGTTATTTATTTATTTATCTTTAAAAGTTATTCTAAATTTAATATACTGAAGCATAGCATATTACCACATCTTTTTTAATATTATATTCAGACACCCGGAGAAGGAGAGCATAAAATCATGGAATTTATCAGGTCTGAGAAAGCAAAGCCAGATCATGATCCCAACACCAGGCACTGTCTTTATGGTTTAGATGCTGACTTGGTAGGTATAACGTTTATTGTTATTATAATTTCATGCCATTGAAGTTAATATCTGAGAGACTGGGTCTTCTACAGAAAGCTTGCTAACTGTGGAGACAGATATTGGAATATAATAATGATTGCTTTTTCTCCTTATGCTAATGCACTCCTTTTAGTACTACATGATATGAAACTGACCCAAATAATTTTACTAGCCTTTTTTTTTCATTGTTGCTTTTGTCTTGATTTTTTATTATGGGAAATGTCAACCTTAAAGAAAAATAAAAGGCTAGTATAAGAGTAATTAACTCATTGTGCCTTTCCTCAACCTTAAAATAATCTTTAACTACAAAATAATAATAATTTATAAATTATCAAGGTTTCATGATGGGAGGGGGGAGCCAGAGGGAGGGGGAAAAAATGAGCCAGATACCAAGGGCTCAAGGAGAAAGCAAATGTTTTGAGAATGATGATGGCAACAAATGTACAAATGTGCTTGACACAATGGATGGATGGATGGATTGTGGTAAGAGTTGTGTGAGTCCCCAGTAAAATTATTTTAAAAAGATAAATAAATAATCTTTTTATTTTTAAATAATCTTTAACTCTTGTCTCAAACTATCCATTCCTTCTTGTTCCTTCACCCCTGGATTATTAAAGCAAAACTCAGGCAATATGTCATTTAAGCTATGTAATCTATAAATATTTATAATATTTACCTGACAAAGAATTTCTATAACATAACAATAGTGCTATTATCTCACACAAAGCAAATTATCAATAATCCGTGAATACATAAATAGCCAGTAGTATACTAATTGCCTTACAAATGTGTTGTTTTATTTTAATAAAGATTGAAATAGGTGGTCGGGGAAGGGCAGGGGAAGAAATGGGGAGCGGATATCAGGGGCTCAAGTGGGAAAAGAATGCCTTGAAAATGATGATGACGGCATATGTGCAAATGTCCTTGACACATTAGAGGAATGTATGGATTATGATAAGAGATGTAAGAGCCCTTAATAAAAGCACTTTTATAAAAAAAAGAAAAGGGTAATATACACTACAATTGCTTCATATATTTTACTAGTATATTTGACTTATTTGGGGATTTAGAATGGGGCGTGAGAAAATTAACTAAAAATACCCTTTTTTAGTTTTGAGTTTTCATGTACTGGAAGTATTCTGATCTCTAGAAAAGTCCTACATCCTTTTTTATGAAAAAGATGCTGTCCCTCATTTCTAACTCATGCATTTCACCATGGCAAGAAGATGGAGAGGACTGAGGAGGAGCAGGGATATGTTAAAGGCTGTGTGAGTCTAAGGTGATCTTTTTTCCCCATTATTAAAATACACTTACTTCCTCTTGGGGAGACAAGACAATTGAAGAAACTCAGTCTTCACTCTTCTTTTTCGTGATTTCTGAAGAAAAATAAGCATCATGAGTCCTTACAAGAGAAGTCCTCCTCCCCAGAATGCTGCCCTGAGAGGGAGGACTGACGTGGACAGGGTCTATCCATTCCCTGGAAATGTTTCCCACCCAAGGAATTCAGGACCACAATGTGTGTGTGTGTGTGTGTGTGTGTGTGTCCTTAAATAAACATGCTATGCCCTATATAGAAATGTTTTCCTTTGATTGCTTTGTGGACTCAATACTATAAAAATAGTAAAATAGAAACATTTCCTTAAAAATGTTCAACAGATTATGCTTGGATTAACAAGTCATGAGGCTCATTTCTCTCTTTTAAGAGAAGAGGTTCGTTTTGGTGGCAAAAAAACACAAAGGTAAGGTAATTCATACTTGAATATGTGTTAGAAATAAAAACAAAAATTAAGCTGTTAAGTTATAAGAGACGGATTTTTGTCTTAGTACTTAGGGTTCACTGGCTTTGCCTCTTCTCTCCCAATGCAAATAAATTTTTTTGTGATTATTTTCAATAATCAGAATGTTATATGGTTTACTTTTAAATTTAATTTTATTTGAATAAATGCAAATTATAAGTTAGCAAATTTAAACATTCAGAAGGCTACTTTCTAAAATCATTTCAAAACTTGGTGTATATTTCTGGTTTTCATGTATCTTGATTGTATTACAACGTAGATCTAGTTCACTCAGTTTATGTTATTTATTGATTAACATGGAGTATAGGCTAAGAACCAGATATATATGAGTTTAAAGCATCAATCAAGCCCGGGGAGTTATATAGAAGAAGTGGTAAATCTTACTGTGAGGTATTTCTTCACTGCATACTAAAATATATGCTTACCCAGTTGTCTATTTTCTGTTGATGAATAGTCTTAAATAAGCCAGATCCCACTGGCTTCACATACATGTTATTTATTATTTCTTAATTTTGAGAGCACTTTTCCAAAGGAGGCAAAATGTAAACCAATTACTTTAAAAATATTTTTAATTAGTTTTATTTTTATAATTACATTACCATTAGAATATTGATATAAATTGTATGCCATCTTCCAGTGATAATTTTTACTTTAAGGTTTGCTACATTTTTTAAGTTGGGCCTTAAAAATATAATGAATGCTATTATCTCACTAATATACAGGGTATGTGCACCAGAAGAAACCACATTTCACCTCCTACACTTGTCTTTAATGAGAGAGTATATCGATTATGAGTTTTCCATATTAAAAGTGAGTATTAACATAGCTATGGAGCAAAGATTTACATGTAGAAATTTCTGTAAGATTTAGCTTCTTTCCCTCCCGTTTGCTATAGGAAAAGATCTCATTTAAATATGATATTGAGAGGATAATAGATGATTGGATTTTGATGGGATTTCTTGTTGGCAATGATTTTATTCCTCATCTACCTCATTTACATATTAATCATGATGCACTGCCTCTTCTTTATGGAACATATATTACCATCCTGCCAGAACTTGGGGGTAAGAAAAGCTTAACTATTTTAATTTGAGGCTCCTCTAGCTTAGTACTTGACTTCTTTTTAAAAATGTTTATCAAATTATTTGATTATTGCATGCACAACTAGAATAGAAATTTTGAGGATTTTTTGGTCTGAGATTGAGATTTGCAATGATTCACAAGCAAGTAAAGTGACCAAAATTAAGCAACTTCACTTATTGATACCTAACTAACCTCTGCTTTTAATTCATTAAGAAAACTAGCAGAAGTTGTTGGTTGGGTCCTCCTCTCAGGTGCTTTCATAGCTAAGAACAAAAATTCTATTTTTATTAATACATAAGCATTAGAATATTTTATTTGAAGGAGGATTTTATAATTAGAATGAAATCGATAAACAGGTGCTACAGTAAATTTCTAACTAGGAAAAAACATAAGACAGCAGAGTACCAGTACATTAGTCCTTTTTAAATTAGCATATCAAGTTGAATTATCTAGAATGTTCTATAACATTTAATTAACTGTAAAAAAATATTGCTGGGTCTGCGGCAGGATGAGCTTAGAATTTGTTTTATTTAGCTTCAGTGCTTGCACATTATATGTTTTAGCATTACAGCTTTCTTTGAAACTAAGGCCAATTACATAGCCCATAATTGAGTGTTTCCTTGATTAGTAGTATTTTATGAAAATAATTTTGTAGAATTGTTTAGAAAAAAATCATGTAAATTTAGATTTTGTTCTTTTTAGGTTATATCAATGAAAATGGCCATCTCAACTTACCTCGCTTTGAGAGATACCTTATAAAATTATCAGATGTAAGTAATTGGAAGCTTTACTTTTTTTCTGTTTCAGAGTAGCTGTAGATGGTCAGAAACCAATTACAGAAAAATAGAAAAAAAAGGGTTTTACAATTCTGTTCCAGTTGCTCACTCTTTATAAATGATTTCACCCATTACTCTTTATTTTTTAAAATTTTTTATCTTAAAAGTAATAGATGAGGTCTTTCTGTGAATAGAAGGTCCTTGGGCAGCACAAATGGTTTGCACAGAGGTTAGTGGTTTGAACAGACACAGTGGTATCTCAAACGAAAGGCCTGTGAATTGCTTCATAAAGATTATAGTTAAGAAAATCCCATGGTTATATGAAATCCAAATTTGATGAACCTACAGAGACAGCAAGTAGAATAAGGGTTCCTGGAGGGTACAGTGTTAGGGGTGGGGGTGGGACAAGGTAAAGGAGAACTGATATGAAGGAGTTCAGATGGAAGAGAATATTTTGAAATTGTTTGTTATAGCAATTGTACAATACCTCTTGATGTTATAGAACCGTGGAGTGATAATGATCTGTGCAGAACAGTCCTATTCTGTAATCCAGGAAATGCCCAAGAGCCAGAACCAACGGCAATGAATTTGGTTTGGTTTTTCATGTGTATAAAAATATAATATATCCCTATGCCCCAGAAGTTATCACTGTTAAGCTGTTGATTTGTGTTCTGCTAGACATAATATATTCTTTCTTTCTTTCTTTCTTTATTTATTTATTTTTGTTCTTTTAAAACGAGTTTTAAACCTTTCTGTACAGTTTGATCGTGAACACTTCAGTGAAGTTTTTGTGGATCTAAAGTGGTTTGAAAGCAAAGTTGGGAACAAGTACCTTAATGAAGCAGCAGGTGTTGCAGCAGAAGAAGCCAAGATCTACAAGGAAAAGAAAAAATCAAAGGTGTCCAGGCTTTTTTAGGTGTTCTTTCCTATTTTTAGCTATAAAGAGAAAGCTAATAATCCTATTTTTCATTTTCCTTTTTAGAATTTTGGGGTTGGCCTGATTTAACTTTCATCTTCTCTATGAACATTAAAAATTTTTTATTTCTTTTTCTTTTAGGTCCAAACTGAGCAGTGTCAATTAAGCTTGGTCTTTAAAATTCAGTTTCAGATTTTTACCCTTGAAAAAAGAACTTGGTGTTTTGTTTTTTGCTCTTTGATTTTATTATTAAATGTAGAAAATATTTTTAAATGCAAATCTTAGAAAAGTAGCCATCTTTTAAAAACATCTGATCTAAAGCATACTATTTAAAAACAATGGTAGTGTCTTCCTGTACATATGTGTGGTATTTAATGTGATACACAACTTTAACTAGATCAGCAATTTTCTCTGAAAATGATTTATATATAAAATGATATATAGATTGTATGGATTGGCTAGATTGCATATAATTAATAGAAATATCTAGCAAGTGTTACAGGGAAAGAAATGTGGTTTTTTAGTCCTGTAAATCTTTATAGTCTTGAAAACCAATGGGGTGAGTTTACTCTGTCCTTTAGGGTCACTGTGATTCAAAATCAGCTGGGTGGCAGTGAGTTGAGTTGGCTGAGTAAATGTTAAGTGGTTAATAAAAGAATAATGGAATCAGGTAGAATATACAAGTACCTTGTAAAAACATCTCTACTAAGATCCAAGGAATGTCTTATTTGTATTAGATTGGAAAATAAATCTCTTCAAAATTTTCCTTAGTCTATAGATAGTTATTGTATTCTAGTCAAACAAATGCATTTTCTGTGATTCTCTTTCTAAACTACTTCTACTTATGTTTATGACTAAGAATTCTTGCTCATAAGAGGACCAACTATGTTGGTGTTCTCTAGTGTAGTCCTTCTAAGGCAGCGTTCTCAACCCCTTTGGGGGGTTGAACAACCCATTCACAGGGGTTGCCCGATTCATAACAGTAGCAAAATGACAGTTATGAAGTAGCAACAAAAATAATTTTATGGTTGGGGGGTCACCACAACATGAGGAACTGTATTAAAGGGTCGTGGCATTAGGAAAGTTGAGAAGCACTGTTCTAAGGCTTAGCTCTTCCTTAGTGGAATTTGGCAGCAGTAGGGCTAAATTTGCTATTTATTCTTAAAGGAAATAAGACTTTAACCTGGGGAGAAGCAGATGGATTTTGTGCTCCCATGTAATTGTAGCTCTAATCCAAGAACAGTTAGTTCTTATAACATGGCCCCGCTCAATACTCACCTTCATGAGCTCACTGGAGATGAAGATGCAACAGTAAGTGTGATGAAGAAAGCAGATGGTGTCCAGCTGTCAACTGGAATAGTGTCTGGGAAGTTAAAGGCTTGTATTTAAATAAGCAGCCATCTAAGTGAGGCATCATACAGAAGAAGCACACCAGCCATGTGATCCAAAGATGACAATAATAGAATCTAAATATGATGAAGGGAAAAGTATTAGGGCCTAAATTGTGAACATCCAATTTGTAGAAGACTATGGAGGATAGTGGGAACCCAAAATCCATCTGCAATGTCTGGTTGGATTGGCCCTCTGGCAGATCCCTGTAGTCACAGGTGAGGGACTCGAACAGCTTTAGGATCAGACAGAGATTATTATAAACTTGATTATGGTGAATTGAATCATGGTATAATATGATACTTAATCCAATGACCTATCTCTCAACCCAACCCGAATTTTCTCTGTGCTCAAATATTTCTGGATTATTCCAAAAAAGCAAGTTCTTCTCTAGTTTTTAAAGTATTAGTGGTGGTTTCTTTCTTTTTATTTTTATCTTTATATTATTACTACTGTTTTCTTTCTTTTTAAAAAAAATTTAATTTATTTTTTATCATTGTTTTGTTTTGTTTTGTCACTTTGTCTTGCTGTCTTGTTTTTTTGTGCATATTCTTATCTCTGTAGACCTATCTAGGTAAGATGGGCTGGATGAAGAGTCTGGAGGAGAAAACAACTGATGGTTCCGAGGAGACATGGGAGAGAGGGAGGTGGGGAAAAGGATGTTGACAAACTAAGGGACAAGGGAACAGCAAGTGATCCAAAATCAGCAGCAAGGAGGGTGCAAGAAGCTTGGCAGGGTTTGATCAAGGGCAATGTAACTGAGAGGAATCACTGAAACCCAAATAAAGGCTGAGCACAATATTGGGACAAGAGGAAAGCAAAAGGAAATAGAGGAAAGAACTAGGAGTCAAAGAGCTTCTATAGAGGTATAAATACAGGCATGTACATATGAATATATATATATGATGATGGGGAAATCTATGTGCTTATATTTATAGGTTTAGTATTAAGGTAGCAGATGGACATTGGGCAGTCCTCCACTCAAGCACTCCCTCAATGCAAGAGCGCTTTGTTCTATTAAATTGGCATTTCACGTCGCTCACCTTCCCAACACAATCACTGAAGACAAAGTGGGTGCATAAGCAAATGTGGTGAAGAAAGCTGATGATGCCCGGCTATCAAAAGATATAGTGTCTGGGGTCTTAAGGATTGAAGGTAAACAAGCGGCCATCTAGCTCAGAAGCAACAAAGCCCACATGGAATCAGCACACCAGCCTGTGTGACCATGAGGTATCAAAGGGATCAGATATCAGGCATCAAAGAACAAAAAATCATATCATTGTGAATGAGGGGAAGTGCAGAGTGGGGACCCAAAGCCCATCTGTAGGCAACTGGACATCCCCTTACAGAAGAGTCGCTGGGAGGAGATGATCCAGCCAGGGTGCAGTGTAGCAACGATGCATACAACTTTCCTCCAGTTCTTAAATGCCCCCCCCCCAACCACCACTCCCTACCACAGTTCCAACCCCACCCCACAAATCCGGCCAGACCAAAGGATTTACATTAATTAGCACAGACAGGAACCGGAAACACAGAATTCAGGACAAATGGTTCTCTCAGGACCAGTGGTGAGAATGGCAATACCAGAGGGTGGAAGGAAGGTGGAGTAGAAAGTGGGTACCAATTATAAAGATCTACATATAACCTCCTCCCTGGGGGACGGACAACAGAAAAATGGGTGAAGGGAGACATCGGACAGTGTAAGATATGACAAAACAATAATAAACCATAAAATATCAAGGGTTCATGAGGGAGGGGAGAATAGGGAGGGAGGGGAAAAAATGAGCTGATACCAAGGGCTCATGTAGAAAGCAAATGTTTTGAGAATGATGAGGGCAACAAATGTACAGATGTGCCTGACATACAGTGGATACATGTTTTCTTTTTAAAACATTTTTTTATCTTAAGTGTTATTGTTTGGTCGGGTATTATTTACTTTTTTAAAATTGGGAGCTCTTACAGATATTATAATAATCCATAATTCAATTAGAGCAGGCATAATTGTACAATTGCTGCCGCCATCAGTTTCAAAAGATTTTCTTTCTTCTTGAACTCTGATGTCAGCTCCCCTTTATTTCCTCCCTCCCCCATACTCCCAGCAACTCTTATTATTGTATTATGTATATTGTTTGTTTTTTGCTGTATCTTGCACTATCCAGTGTATCCATTCACCTACAATTCTGTTATTACTTCCAACTATTTCTGAACGGTTAATCTATCTTGGATTTCATAAATCTAATGATATTAATTATACAAATGAACATATGCAGATCTAACAAGATTAATGAGGTAAAACTAAGACCATAATAGTAAGGAGAGGTAATAGTTAAGAACTAGAAGATAGTTAGGTGTTTCATCAGTGCTATGCTGCATCCTGGATATATCTTCCCTACCATGTGCCCCTTTTGTGAGGGACTGTCCAATTATCTTACAGGTGGGTTTGGGGTCTCCACTTTGTTACACTCTTTCATGTCAATTTGATTGCTTGTTTCTGAACTTCTGATACCTATTTCCATCGATATCTCATGATTGCGCAGGCTGGTGTGCTTCTTCCATATGGGCTTTGTTGCTTCCCTGCTGGATGGCTGCTTGGTTAACTTCAAGCCCTTAAGACCCTAGAAACGATATATTTTAATAGTTTAATAGCTTTCATCACCATATTTGCTTATGCACCCATTTTGTCTTCAGCAATCGTGGGAAGGTGAGTATCATACATAGCCACATTATTAGAGCAAACGTTCTTGTGTAAAGCTAAGATTTAAGTAGAGGCTTAAAGTCCATTTGCTTCCTTGTTGTATTTACATGTATATGTATGTATGTGTGTACATGTGTGTATATATATATATATATA